CAAATAACAAGTATATAGATGAATGAATTTTTACAAACAATACAACTGTGAAGTCAGCTTCCAGATTTAGAGACAGAATATTATCAGCACATCACATATTCTGAACAGGCTCTCTTCTAGTCACTCCTTGCCGCCGGCCCCAACAGGGTAAACCCATCTTGATTTCTAAATGCATAAATTAAACATATTTTTCTACTTCACATAAATGAAATAATACACTATGTACTCTTTTGTGTCTAGCTTCTCTCAATTGACATTATCTTGTGATATTCACCCATTTTGTTGTGTGTAGTTGTAGATCATTCATTCTCGTTACTAAATATCCTTCCATTGTGTAAATATACCACATTATTTAAGCTTTCTATTCCTAATATGCATTTAGGTTCCTGGTTATGGACTATTATGATTGGAAACACTTATGTACACATTTCTTTTGGATATATGCCTAGGAGTGAAATTACTGGATCCATAGAGTATGCATATGCCAGCTTTAGGGTATATTGCTAAATATATTTCCAAAGTGATTGTACCAATTTACACTCCCATCACCCATGTATGAGAGCTCCATTTTCTCCACTTCCTCACCAACCCATGGTATTTTTGTCTTTTTCATTTTAGCCATTCTGGTAAGCATATGGTTAGAGGTGTATTTTTAAATTATTTTTAAATATTGGGGTTTTTTCTCCTACTATTTAGTGGTGATTTTCCATTTAGTTGCATTGTGAACAGAGAATATGGTCTATGTAAGATTGTTTGTTATCGTTTGTGGGTTGCTTCATGGCCTTGTGTACATGGCAGTTTTCATAAATATTCCGTAAGTGCTAGAAAAGAAGATGTTCTCCTGATGTTCGATGTCTAGTTCTATATATGTTGGTTGGATTTTAGCTTGGTAATTTTGATGTTTGAATTGTATCCTTACTATTTTTCATATACTTTCTCAGTTACTTAGAATGTTATGTTAAAAATCTCCCATTCTGATAGTGGATTTAATTTCTCTTTGTATATCTGTTAATTTGTTTTTATATGTTTGAGGTTTGTGTTTTCAGATGCATGGAAGTCTAAAACTGCTCCTTCCTCATGAACTGAACCATTTGGGGTGTTTTGTGTCCCTCTTTAAATTTAATGCTTTTTACTCTCAAGAATATTGTGTTCAATATTAATCTAGTTACTTTCTTTTGGTTATCATTTTCTTACTGTATCTCAGTTGCATAGAATTGGATGAAAAACTATCTTAGCTCAGGCAAACTCTGATTATTGGTCCATACATGTGCCACTTTTACTTATTTATTTATTTGTTATAAATAATATAATAAGCATCCGTGAAACCACGTCCCAAAACAAAAGCTACAACCTAGACAATAATGCTCATCAAACCATTTGGCTCCCGTGCCTCACTTCACCTGAGGGTAACTGTCATCCTAAATCTACAATCTTTATTGTTCATTCTTTGCTTTCCTTTGTATATAATTTTATTGTGTATATTCTTTAAAAATAACATTTAATTTTGATTGTTTTTAGAGAAAGGGGATCATACTGTATATAATTTTAGAAGCTTATTTTCCCACTTAATATAGATTTGCTAAGATTCCTCCATATTTTGCATATCACTGTATTTCTTTCATTTTGACTGTTGTGTAATATTTATCCACTCTCTTGATAGGCTTCTAGGTTGTTTCCTGGTATTTACTATTGTGAAAGTACTGTTGTGTCTGTTCTTACACATATCTCCTTTTGTACATGTACAAGAGACTTGGGTTGCTGGGTCCTAGGCTATATGAAAGTTCAGTATTAAGAGATAATGCCAAAGTGCTTTCCTAACTGGTTTCACCAATTTACATTCATATCAGACCCTGTGGATTGACTTCCTCTTCAACATTTGGTATTATCAGACTTTTCAAATTTTGTAAATGAAACAAGTGTAAACAGTATCTCTCTGTGGTCTTTATTGTATTTCTCTGATCACTAGTGAATGTTGAACAACTTTTCTTATGTTTTTTGCCTATATGTATTTTCTCATTTGAAAAAGCCTATTTATTTCTTTTGAGTATATTTCTATTGAGTTTACTGTGTTTTTGTTAATGAATTTTAGGAAATATTTATGTATTCTTGATATTAATGTTCTCCAGTTGTATGTGTTGCAAAATATCTATTCCTGGGTTTTAATCTGTGTTTTGCATTTTTGAAAGTGTCTTTTGATTAGCAGCAGTTTTTCATTTTAATATAGTCAAATTGATTTATCATTTATAATTTATAATTATTTACAGTTAATGCTTTTGTATCTTGGTTAAGAAAATCTCTTACCCCTAGGACTAAAATATATTCACCCTTATTTTCTACTTAAGAGTTTAAAAAATTATTTTTAACACTTAATTCCGTATACCATCTAGGGTTATTTTTTTAATATTATAAGGCAGAGATTCAATTTCATCCTTTTCCGTAGAGATAACGATTTTTTTTCAGCTCAATCCCTTAATTTCCCCCTGATCTGACATGCTAACTCTGTCGTGTACCACATTTCCATTCATGTATGGGTCTGTTTCTGGGCTCTATTATATTCCATCAGTCATGCATCTATCCTCATACCAAGGCACACTGTCTTTAATTATTGTAGCTTGGTAGTATCTGGTGAGGTAAGAATGCCCTCCCTCGTCTCTTTCTTCAAGTGTGCTTTGGCTATTCTAGGCTCTTTACTTTTCCGTATAACTTTTAGAATGATCTTATTAAATTTCATGGAAATTAATTGTATTGAATCTGTAGATTAATCTGGAGAGATTTTACATATTTATAATATTAATGTTTCCAGCCATGAACAGGATATATTTTTCCATGAATTTAGGTCATTTTATAAACATCTTTTAATACATCTTTTATAATATTCTCCATAGAATCTTCACATATCTTTCATTAGATTTATTCCTAGGTGTTTCATATTCTCTGACATCATTGTAAATGAAATATTTTATTTAATTATGTTTTTTAGGTTTTTTTGCTGCTAATATATGGAAGTGAAACTAACTTTCATATGTTAATCTTCTATGCAGCCAACTTGCTAAAGTTTCCCATAATATCATAATTTGTAGATTTGTTTAATGTTTTCTGTGTAAATAATCATATCATCTGCAATAATAAGAAGGTTATATGAACAAGGATGTGAAACAGGCAAGGAAGTAAACTATGTGGATATCCAGGGAAGAACGTACCAGGTAGAAAGAACAGCAAATACAAAGATATTAAAGCCGGAACGTGACTGATGTGCTCAAGGCATATCAAGGAAGCCAGAGGGCCTAGAATGCCCTGAGCAAGCAGGAGAGTGGCAGGAGATGAGGTCAGAGGTGTTGGACTAGATTATGTAGGGCCTTGAAGACCACTGGATGGACTTAGGTTTTCACTCTGATTTGGGCATCCATTGGAGAGTTTTGATCAAAGGGTGGCATGATTTGATTCAGGTTTTTAAGGACCATTCTGGCTATTGTGTTGAGAATAAACCATAACAGTCAAGGACTAAAGCAGGGAGACATGATAGAGGCCATTGCGGAAATCCAGATGAGATGATGGTTTAGACCAGGGCAGTAGTGGGTAGAGGTGGTGATAAGTGGCTAGATTCTGGATGTATTTTAAAGACAGAACCAACAGGAATTTCTAACAGACTGGAAGTTGTTTAGGAGAGAAAAAAGAAGTCAAGGATGATTCTAAGTTTTTCGGTTTGAGCAACTGGAAGATGAAGTCTCCATTAATGTTCTTAAAGAAGTTGAATATCATTTTATATAGTGTCATCTTTATAAGGACTTCGAAAGAAATTTATTTTGAGTCTTGGTATTGGAAATAGTTACATTTCACTCAAGAACTTGCCTCATTTGTATCTTTGTTAGTATCTGTTGGGGACTGTGACTACGTTGGCTGCTAGAAAATGTAGAACCACATTTGTGTCCCTCGTAGCAAGGATATAGATATCTAAAGTATATGTATTTTTTTTTATTGACCTCACTTACATTTGGCCTTGTTTTTATCTTTTCTCACTACTTCTAATTTGTTTTCTTGTATGTTATATATCCTTGTATACCTCCTTAAAATATTTTTAGAACAGAACAGGGTTTGAATAAATGAAGACAAGTTGTTTGCACTGTATGCCGCCAAAAAAGAAGTGTGGGAGGTAGCATGAATTTTTGAAAACTTAGCTGAGAGTTAGAACATCATCTTGAACTATAAATAATATAAATATAGATGTGTGTGTGTATATATTACCTATATATAGTATATATATATGTTTGAGTGCCTACTGGGTTCCTACAACTCTGTATTATCCATTCAACAATATTCAGTGAGTATCCACTATATGTCAGGTGCTGTTTTATGCACTTGATACATCAGTTAATAAAATAAGGAAACCTGTTCTCAGTGAGCATGCATTCTAGTGGGGGAGATACTGACAAAAGATAGCACTTGTAGTAGATTAGTAAATTATACAGTATGTTAGAAGATGGTACGTACTACAGAAAAAAAAATGTCAAGCATGGTAAGGGAGATTGGAGGTGAAGGGAATGTGGGTGGGTTAGAGTGTGGAGGTTGCAGCATTAAATAGAGTGGTCTGGATAGGCCACGTTGAGAAGATGACATTGGAGCACAGACTTGAAGGAGGTGAGGGCATGAATTATGTGCCCGTCTGAGGGAAGAGCAGTTCGTCAGAGGGAACAGCACGCAATGTTCCTGAGGTAGGAGTGTACCTGGCACATTTAAGGAGCGGCTAGGTAGCCAGTATGGAGTTGAATGAGTGAGAAGAGTGATAGGAAACAAGGTCAGAAAGATGATGGGGTTGGAACACAAGTCTCATAGGGCCTTGTAGACTGTTGTTAGGACTTGAGCTTTTTCTCTGAGTTAAAGGGGGCACCATTGCAGGGTTTCAAGCATAAGGGTGGAATGCCTTGACTTGCATTTTAAAAGGATCACTCTGGCTATTATAGTATAACTTTCAAGGGAGTTAATGATTATTTCTGCAATTTTAGGTATATTACAGCTAATACTGACACAGAAGAACAGAGTTTTCCAGTCCCTAAGGCATTTAACGCACACATAGAAGAATTAAATTTAGATGTCCTTCTTCAGAAGGCAGATAGTTTACGTATGGATGAGTCTAGCAAGATGGACAGTTTTGAACTACTTTGTGACCACAAAGAAAAGGTAAGAGATATGTGATAATAATATGTTTGTATAGGTTTACTTTTTGATGTAACCTACTATCCCATTCGTGTTATGACTGTAACAATTGTGTCACAGTTTACACAAGCTAAATGATTGGTGCAAAATTTTTCTATGACTAAAATGTTTTAAAAGTAAATATAAGAGTTTATTAGGCTCTAAGATCATAAAAATGAGAACCAGAGATATGATTATACAGATTTATTTGATTTTTATTAATTCGATATATTTAATAAATATTTTATAACAGATAAAAAACAAGACATACTGCTTCTCTCGGGGGAGGAAAAGCTACATTTTAAGTTTTCCATCTTATAGTTATTAATATAACAGCCATCGGTATTTCAGTCTATTTCTACCTATGGTTATTTTTCAGTGTTTAGTGTTGGGCTGAATTGGGAAAGCCCATCCCTCCCACCATCACTACCAAAAAAACAAAAAAGGGTTTGCAATATCCAAAGGAGCAATAAATCTTTTTCTTTCCCATGAGCAATTTAAGTCTAGCCTTTGTCTGAGGATTTAGCAGCTCTACCCTAAACACGTTGTCTAAAAGTTTTTAAATCTCCAAGATCATATTTAGGTAATTTAGGTAAAAAACGTGACTGTTCTTTTGAGTACATGTGATCCGTAACACCGTACAGATAGATATTATCTGAAATGCTTGTTGAGGCATCATACTGATAACTTAGAAAGGAAATCAGAAGAAAATACCACAGCCCAGGGAGAATTTATAGATTCTGGCACCTATCAATTCTTTCTCTTCTGTGGAGGTGTGGAGCTAGTGTCTGGATAATATTAATTGGTTTTAAGATTAAAATGTAACACTATATTAAATCACATTTTGTAGCCTTGAATATTTGAATTTAAAATGTTATATGCAACAGATGGTTACTAGTCTTATCAGAGTGATCATTTTGTAATGTATATAAATGTTGAATCACTGTGTTGTACACCTGAAACTAATATGATATTGTATGTCAACTATACTTCAATAAAAAATAAATAAATAAAAATAAAATAAAATGTTATATGCACGTGAATAGATTTAGTCATCTATAAGTACCAGTTTACCTGCCTAATTTTTTAAAAGTTGCAGTGGAAAACATTTATAGTGTGGTCAAGTTATTAAGTTAATCTAATGTGCAATTCTATCTTTTCAGTTTAGAGATGAAATAGAGTTTATTTGGCGGTTTGCTCGTGCTTATGGAGACATGTACGAGTTATCTACAAATACTCAAGAAAAGAAACATTATGCTAATATTGGTAAGTATTTTGTAAAGATTTATTATCCTCAAGTGACAACTATTATCTGTAATAAACCACTAATGAATTTTTTAATTAAAGCTAAATTTTCTTAGCTAAAAGCAATATGTTTAATCTATTTCAGTATTTCCTGATACTAAAAAATACTCATAGTCTGACAGAAAAGTTTTTTTGACTAAAGTATATGTTTTTTAAAATATTTGAGCATTAGAATAGGCAACTGAAAAACCCAAATTTCAGCTTTTAAAGTTTATAAAATTACAGAAAGATGAGACAATAAGTGGTGATGTTTTGAGAAGCAATAATAGGCAGAGGACAGTTGTCTTCAGCAGTCGTCTTTCACCACAATTAAAATAATGCTCCTTACTTCCCGTGACGTAGAACTCCAGGTACCGTGAAGAAATAACCATTCAGACGTCAGTGTTTTTTCAGATTAGTCTTGATAAAACAACATTAGCCTTGGGTTGATAATTGTTTAAGCTGAGTGATGAGTACATGGTGGCTCATTATACTGTCCTCTATACTTTTTTGCATATTTTTGAAATTTTCCATAATAACAGCAACAAAAGAAAAAGCCAGAATATCAAATCGTCTATACATATATATCTCACCTTAACTTTCACTGAACATCAAAATTCTTTCTTGCAAAAAGCCCCTTAACTCCCATCTCTCTGAGGTTCAGGGTAGTAATTTGACATCAAAACTTCTTTAACTCTTTTATTGCAAAGTCTTCTCTTTTCCAAGCTTTCCTTCTCTAGATTTCGTGAGGAAGAAACAGCAAGGAGATAATGATACTGCAGATCGCCTTTCAGTCTAGCTCCCTGTCATTTTTATTTCCAAGAAGGAAATATTTCCAAACTCCTCGTAATTATATTTCTTCCACTTGTAGATTTCCTTGCCAATTGACCTCTGCACTTTAATTCTCTCTCAATGGGAGGAGGATGGGAGGAATTCCATCCTCTTGTTCTTTGCATATTCATCATCAGCTTTGTGGGGCAATTTTTCTATAGCAATCTGTCTTGCAGGCCATATACAAAATGGAATTCTAGAGAAGACATTTATTAACTTGAAGGTAAATAAAAATTTAACCAAAGAGAACAGACTGATTTATTTTCATATCTACTGAGAAAATCAAGGATAGCTGTAAACTGTTCCAACATTCATCAATATGAAACACATTTTTTTTCCTTAAGCACCTGCCCTACCCTGGGCATTAGGGCTCCTCCTGTATTAGGAGGTAGAACTATGAAAGCAAAATAGACATGTTCTCAGACTGCAGAGGAGCTCCTGGCTTTGTGGGGGAGGCAGTATTATTCAAATAATCATACACAGAAAGAAACAAACTGAAATAAGTTGCTAGTAAAGAAGACTGCAGGGTGTTAAGAGAGTGTATAACTGAAAGAGGCTAGGACGGCAGGGTGGGGTGATGCAAGGACATCTTTCCTATGGAAGTGACAGTTTCACATAGGTAAGATTACTTGGGGTCCCTATTTTAAAATGGAGTGGGAGTTTAATTGAGTTAATGTATGAGATGGTGAAAATGGAAAAAGAAATAGGCTGGAGGAAATTTGGGGACAAGAATGGAGCATAGATTGGAATAAGAAATATCCAAAAAAAAAGAAAAGTTTATAGTGTCAAAGAAAAAGAGGTGAAGCCTCAGATACGTCATTCAGATATTGAAATAAATTTAAAAGAATTCCTTTTTTTCACCCATTTAAGAAGTATTTGTTTGAGATTACTATGTCCAGGAACAATGTTAAAATGAAGGGTGGAGGGAAGGAGTGAGAGAAGGAGGGACATAAATGTCATTAAGGTGGTGCTGCATGAAGGAACTTACTATATGGATCAATATGGGGTCAGCTAATGTAATTCAGTGTGCAGGTGGTCAGTGCCCAGGAAAGGTGATGACAGGACACTGGAGCTGAGCCCAGCCCTGGAAGGACATTGGAACTCAGGGTGAGGGAGGAAGAGTGCTGAATGTTACTCCTCATGATAGTATCTTTGACATTGGTGTGCCGAGGGAAGGTTTGATTGCTGGAGAGTGCAGAATTCTTTCGTAAAACTCAAAATGGGGTATATCATTATGCAGTACATCTTTTGAATACTGTGATTGATCATAACTTGTATGCCAAATAAAATCTGAATCTTGTATCTAAAGGCACGTTATTACACTTTCTAGAATTAAATGAAATGATCGCTACAAATGCCTCAAATAGATCACAAAATACAATTTTGTAAGAGAAATAGCTTCCTTTTCAGGCTTCAGCTGCATAAATGAGGCTGCGAAACCAGTCTGTGTACTGCCAGCTTCCTTGTGTGGTCTCAGAGTGGTGGAAGCTCCTCTCTCTTAGGCTTGTGGTAGTGCGCTAAAAGCTATTTTTGTTCATTTGGCAATGTAGCTAAAATGTTGATTTAGTTTTTAATGTTCGTAAGTTAAAAAGTATTTATTTTTCAATCATTCATTTACAGATTACTAACTCTTTTAATATATGTCCACAGTGTAATATCAGTTATTATCAAAATACTTCACTTTTTAATTTTTTCCGGTTTATGTAAATTTCTGCACAGGGTAGTTCTCTTAATGGATAAAGCTATAAAGTACCACTTTAACAAATAGAGAATGGTTTTAGAATAAAAGATTCTTATTTATAAAGATTATCTCAACTACTTATTTAGAAGGGCATTTTGCAGATTATTGGATTTTCTCTCCAAGGCAAAAAAAAAAAAAAAAATGGAGCAGGGGAAAAAGGAGATGGTAAAAACAAAGCAGTCCCTTTTGGAGAAAGATTTTCAGAATGTGGTTCAGTTTTGTTGTAAGCGTTTAGATTGTTCAAGCCAATAGACAAACCTGTATCCAAAGTAATTATTACATTGTTAAAAGTTATTCTAAAACTAAGTAAAATGGTCTGGGAGAATTATTTCTGTACTGAGCCTCTTTATTATCGTGAGTGATGAGGCGAGAACTCTGGGATGCCTTCCCTTACCCTTTAGGTAGAGTTACTCACCCTCTTCTCTGCTCTCTTTTTTGTCTTGCTTTTACCTTTTTGCTTGTAATTTGTTTGTTTATATATCTCTGCCTACTGAACTGTGAACCCTTGGAGGGCAAGGACTGTCTTATTTGACTTTTTATTCTGAGAGGCTCACATAATATGGCACTTAGAAGGCACGCAGTAAATATTTGTTGAGTTAATTATAAAACAATTTTTATTAACACTTCTGAGTAATGATTGACTTTTCTTGCGCTTGGTTAAATCGCCTACTCCAGTGAGTCTCAAACTTGAGCCTACATCAGAATCACTAGAGGCTCCTTAAAACAGATTGCTGAGTCCCAGAGTTTGTGATGGAGGAAGTCTCCTGTGTGGCCAAAAATGTGCTTTGCTAAGAAGTTTCCAGGTGATGCTTCTGGTCTTGGGACCCTACTTTAGGAAGCACTGACTTAATTCAATAATCCACCTCCCACCGATGCACATGAAGGTACTAAGCGTAAGTACATTTATCTTTCAGGAAAGACGTTAGGTGAAAAAGCTATTACCAGAGCACCCATGAATGGACACTGTCATCTCTGGTAAGTACATAGAATTTATGCAGCCTATTTAAATTCTAATATGCCTTTTTGTAAATTAAAATGGATTTAAAAAATATTTTTGATCCATTTAACCTGTCACATTCACTGAAAAATATAATAGGAGATAGCACAGTGACCGTTCTTGTTCTGTTTATTCTCATGTATTTTTCAGTGTGTCTATTTTAAATATATTTAAGGTAAACTTTCACTGAAGATTTCATAAGTGAATCTACCAAGTCCAATGGCTTTGAACATGATAAATTCTAATTAAATCTAACTTAATATAACATTTTGTGTGAAAACAAATACTAAAATGATGTCATGTTTCTAAGCAAAATGTAGAAAGAATGCTTCTAAGAATAAAAGCACATCAGCCATTTCTTACACCTTGATGAATCAAGGTATACAAATTCCACAGGTCAAAGAAAAGCCGTTTATAATATAAGACAACTCAAACAAAGGGAATTTAATTAGTTGGATGGATATAGGTGAATATCTTTGGGGCAAAAAAATTTGTTCTTGAGTGTGTTTTGTTCTGGATCCTTTGTATGTTTAGAATTATAAATCACAAATAAGAAGAAATATATTGTTGTTAATTAACACTTCTTTTTAGTCATAGTTGCATTTCTACAACATTTTTTAGTTCCTTAGTTTTTTTTCTCCCCAGCAGTTCTGGTACTTCAGATGCTAGGAAGATACAGAAATAAATTAATTTGTGACCTCTCTCTCACACCTAGGTTTCTAGAAGTCCACCCTTCTTTGGGATTATTTTATTATTCTTGGGCACTCTTAGGCAAAAATCTCTCTTGAAGTGGCTCCCTTTCTGTAGGTCCACATTTGTCTCACAGGAAATTCGTTTTTGCCCCACCAGCTCTGAAGTGCAAAGCATTTCCCCAAAGCAGACCTGTTTCTTTACTCTGCCACCAGCAGGGGGAGCTCCACTCACACACTCATCTTAAAACTTCCCTGGGCAGGAGTTAGGTAAAATTTTTTATGTTCTCCAAACACCAAGGGACACATACCAAAATAAGAATAAGTCTTTTGAAGCTGCCCTCACCTGGCTTAAGATGAGATGTAAGCTTGCTCCTTGCCCTCTCCCATGAGAAGGTGGTAGGTGGAACCCAAGTACCCTAACAGTTCTATCCACAGAAATCCCCACTCCACGTCTCTTCCTCCACCAGTGAATTCTTGCCTTCTCTTATATGGCTTGGAGATGGGTGAAGGGCTAAGCCTGGCAGAACCTGTGGATAATTTCTTTAGCGTGTCGCGCATGGGTAGTAGAGAGTCTTGCTTTAGGAATTGGAGTATGTACAGATAAAGTATTATTCTGTGCTCTGGGTGCCCCTGCCACGACTCTGGGGGAGAGGTAATTTTGCGGTTAACGTTCTGATACATGCCTTTAAGATTATTTCCTCAGTATGTAAGAGTCTTGGCTATTATTTCTATAGCCAACTTTACCATCTTCATCTAATTTGCATAATACTAATATTAATAAATTAACTTATATATGCATTAAGGTACTGCTTCCACTCTTCGTTGTAGCTGTAATGAACTTACACTGATCAAGCCACACTTTCTTCATTTCCTTTGATTTTGGAGGTGTTTGGGAGCTGGTTAGCCAGCTTTGGATGCAGAAAGGACACCGCGGTCCTACTCCTAGCTTTAAGCTGTGCCTCTTCCTCCTCCTTCTCCTCCTGCTCTTCCTCTGTTGTCCTCTTCCTTCTCCCATACTGCATCTGCGTCCATGAAGAATCGCGTTAAAAATGTACATGTAATATTAATCCTCAATTTGAGAACATTTATTATCAATTTGAGCTTCCAAATTTTCATAGAGGAATAATGTTGAATCTTCTCTGAGGGCTTCATAAGGACCTTGAAATCCATCTTGTGAGGACAGATTATGCTTAACTCTTCCTTAGTGGGTTTCCTGTCTTCCACTCATCTGGCTGCTGCTCTTTTGTTAATCTTTCACATTTTGTTGTGAACTAATTGCCTTGTTTATAGCCTTGGGATTTGACCCCAAGGTTAAATCTTATCAACACAGACACATACACACACTCACACACACAGAGTAATTATTCTATTGTGTTTCACATGATTTCTTATTCAGTATCAGTTTTTACTTTAAAAAAATTAAAATCTAATCAGCTGATAAAATTTAATAAATTTGAATGTCAATTTTATCTTAATTCTTACATGGTCATCTCAATAGATGCAGAGAAGGCATTTGACAAGATACAACATCCATTTATGATAAAAACTCTCAACAAAATGGGTATAGAAGGAAAGTACCTCAACATAATAAAAGCTATTTATGACAAGCCCACAGCCAACATCATACTCAACAGGGAAAGACTGAAAGCCATTCCTCTGAGAACAGGAACGAGGCAGGGCTGCCCACTCTCACCACTCCTATTCAACATAGTACTGGAGGTTTTGGCCAGAGCAATTAGGCAAGAAAAAGGAATAAAAGGAATCCAAATAGGCAACGAAGAAGTGAAACTCTCACTATTTGCAGATGACATGATTTTATATATAGAAAACCCTAAAGAATCCATTGGAAAACTATTAGAAATAATCAACAACTACAGCAAAGTTGCAGGGTACAAAATCAATCTACAAAAATCAGTTGCGTTTCTGTATGCTAATAACGAACTAACAGAAAGAGAGCTCAAAAAGATAATACCATTTACAATTGCATCAAAAAGAATAAAATATCTAGGAATAAATCTTACCAAGGAGATGAAAGACCTATACAATGAAAACTATAAGACATTATTGAAAGAAATCGATGATGACATAAAGAAATGGAAAGACATCCCATGCACATGGATTGGAAGAATAAACATAGTTAAAATGTCTATATTACCTAAAGCAATCTACAGGTTCAATGCAATCCCAATCAGAATCCCAATGACATTCTTCACGGAAATAGAAAAAAGAATACTAAAATTCATAGGGGCAACAAAAGACCCCGAATAGCTAAAGCAATCCTAAGAAAAAAGAACAAAGCTGGAGGCATCACAATCCCTGACTTCAAAACATACTACAAAGCAATAGTAATCAAAACAGCATGGTACTGGTACAAAAACAGACACACAGATCAATGGAACAGAATTGAAAGCCCAGAAATAAAACCACACATATATGGACAGCTAATTTTTGACAAAGGAGCTAAGAACATACAATGGAGAAAGGAAAGTCTCTTCAATAAATGGTGTTGAGAAAACTGGACAGCCACATGCAAAAGAATGAAAGTGGACCATCTTTTATTGCCATTCACAAAAATTAACTCAAAATGGATCAAAGACCTGAAGGTGAGACCTGAAACTATAAAACTCATAGAAGAAAATATAGGCAACACACTATTTGACATTGGTCATAAAGGAATCTTTTCGGATGACATGCCTACCCAGACTAGGGAAACTAAAGAAAAAATAAGCAAGTGGGTCTTTGTCAGATTAAAGAGCTTCTACAAGACAAATGAAACCAGAATCAAGATGAACAGACAACCCACCAGCTGGGAGGAAATATTTGCAAAACATATATCTGACAAGGGGTTGATCTCCCTAACATATAAAGAACTCACACAACTGAACAACAAAAAAACAAACAACCTGATCAAAAAATGGGCAGAGAAAATGAACAGACACTTCTCCAAAGAAGATATACAGATGGCCAATAGGCACATGAAAAGATGTTAAACCTCACTAATCATCAGGGAAATGCAAATCAAAACAACACTAAGATATCACCTCACGCCTGTTAGAACGGCTATAATCACCAAGACAAAAAACAACAAATGTTGGAGAGGATGGGGAAAAACAGGGACCCTCATACACAGCTGGTGGGAATGCAAACTGGTGCAGCCTCTATGGAAAACACTATGGAGATTCCTCAAAGAATTAAAAATAGAAATACCCTATGATCCAGCTATCCCATTACTGGGAATTTATCCAACGAACCTGAAATCAACAATCCAAAGAGGCTTATGCACCCCTATGTTCATTGCAGCATTATTCACTATAGCCAAGAAGTGGAAGCAACCTAAATGTCCCTCGACTGATGATTGGATCAAGAAGAGTGATATATATATATATATACAATGGAATACTACTCAGCCATAAAAAAGACAAAATCATCCCATTTGCAGCAACATGGATGGGCCTGGAGGGTATTATGTTAAGCCAAATAAGCCAGAAAGAGAAAGACAAACACTGTATGATCTCACTCTTATGTGGAATATAAACCAACACATGGACAGAGAAAACTCTATTGTGGTTACCAGGTGCAATGGGGGTAGGGGGTGGGCACAAGGGGTGAAGGGAGACATACATATGGTGATGGACAAACAAAAATGTACAGCCCAAAATTTCACAATGTGATAAACTATTAAAACATCAATAAAAAATATTAAAATCTAATCAGCTGATAAAATTTAATAAATTTGAATGTCAATTTTATCTTAATTCTTAGAATGTATTATAATGTATCTACTGAATGCAAGAGTTCTCATTCAATTAAATAGTAGGGGGATGAAAAAAAGAAAAATTAAAACTTAGTCTTGAGAAGCAACAGGTGAAATTTAGATTGACTGATTCCATAATTAATTGTAATAAAATGGCATGAAAAGGTCTTCTGCTGGGACCTTTCAGTGTGTTAAGACATTTTCTCATTCGTTCAGCATAAATGGCAAGCTATAGCCTCTAGGCCAAATCCAACTGCCAGCTTTTGTAAATAAGTTTATTGGAGTACAGCCACGCCCATACATTTGTGCACAGCGGTGAAGTTGAGTAGTTGCAACAGAGACTCTCTGACCCCAAAGCCTAAAATGTTTGCTGCCTAGCCCTGTGGCAAAAGTTTGCAGACCTGTGGTTTACAGGGTTATGTGATGCTTTATAAGCCTTCAGTTTGAAATAAAAGATGTAATCTTTAGGAATAATTATCGTAAAGGATTAACATTGAGGGAATAATTGAAAAACAAAAGACTTGTTTTTCAT